TTTCTCTTTTCTGAGAAATGACACCAGTATTTCACTGGCCATTCCCATACTGGAACTGGCTGAGGAAACTTTTGGAAAAGGGGGCTGGAAGGAATGCAAGAATAGAGAAACAGGATAAAATGTATTTGGAGTCACAGATTAATGACAGCGTTTGAGATCCCATTGCAGGCAGAGTTTGTCCCACTGAACAGTCTGGAATTGGGCATTGCAAGAAAATCAGAAGCTCTTTTCTCATATTTTGACCAAGAAGTTATCTGTCTTGTTGCTGTATCACTGAATGCTCCCCCTGACAGCTCATCCAAACTGACCTTCTGTCTCACTTTCATAGCACTGAGGGCTGGGATGGTGTTATTTTTACTCCTAGACATGCTGATAAGTTTTGTGGTATTTGAAAGTTTAATTGGATAGCCCATCTTTAGTTTCAAAAAACAGGGACACTGTTCCAATTAAATATTGCTGCAGGATTCAATGCCCTGAGTCTCAGTGCCTGCACAGCTCCCTCTGCCCTTGGTGTAAAATCAACTCCACACTGACAAACCCAGTAATAAACCAGTGTTTTATTCTCCTAAATGGGTAGTCTTTAACAATAAATGGTTACACGCTGCCATGAATATGACGCAGACAAGGAAATCATCATTAAAGTGTACTAAAAAACATTTTCCATTTTTATAGCTCAGTAGTTGTTTAGTCTCCAGCTGCTGAGGAGATTGGGAAATGGTAAAAAAATCAAAATACAAGATAGAGATGATGTTCCCAATCAGTGGTAAAAAACATCAGACTGACAGACACTGAAATAAAGCTCTTGTGCTCACAAGTGAAGAAATCCAGTGTGGGCAGTGGCCTCTGCAACATTCCTTCCCTTTGCCTGACACTCGTAGCTCTGAAACGGATGTCTGGTGAGATGGGAAGGTGATGTTTAGGGAGGCACTCAGATGTGGTGCATGGAAATGACTCATTCCCATTGTCCCAGGAGGACAGAGCAGAACTGAACACAACCCTGGGTGTGTTAATAATCTGCTCTAAACCTGGACCACTATCTCTGACAGGGATGCTCACTCCAGGTGTGCATTTAGGCTTTTCCATTTAATACCTGCCTTCCTGAACACTAGAAAATGGATTGGGAAGAGTCACACAAGTCACACAGCCATGAAATGGCTCTTTGTCCCCCTATCTTGCCATTACTTGTCACAGCATTGGCAATTTCAATTTGAAGAGAAGACACTAAAGCTGAAACACAGATGTGAGTCAGAAACAAGGCAATTACACGCAGCCATCCCTTAGGATGTTGTCTCTAGAGCAGAGATTCCTCTTCCCAACACTGGCTTTGTCAGTTCAGAAAACACTAGGAAGAAAAATGTATTTCAGATAATTCTAGTTACAACTGCAGAGTCTAGTTTATAAGCTAGAGTTGTTGAAGGACTCCAGGCTGCTGGGCTTCAAATCAGTTTTCCCCATCCAGGGAGGAGTAGGAGGAATGTGCCTGTGGTGACCCGGCAGCAGAGTCCTGCTCTGCACTGAACAGTCTGGGCACGTGGAGAGCAATCAGGCTCATCTCTTGGAGAGATCTCAGTCTGAGAAGAGCCTTTTGTAAGAGAGGATGCTACAATGGAGTCTACCAAAACTCAGGACTAGGATAGACAAGCTGCTCAGTATCTCTCTGCCGTTAACACCCGACGAACATGAACGTCAGTGGAGACAGAAGGCTACACCAGCCAGCAACAAACAGATGGTGGAATTGCTAGGAGAGACAATTAAAGCAAGGGGCTAAAATGAGCTTGAGACATAAAAGAAGAATTAAGACAACTAAATAGTTCTATGCAGAAATTATACAAATAACAACCTAAAAAAGACTGAGTTAAAATAATCCTAAAACCCTCAGGCTGGTTAATATAGCTGTAGTTCAGTGTGTATCAGTTTGGTGTTCCTAGCATTCTAACCACAAAGCAATTTGACATATCTGTATAAATAGCAATCAATGCAGCATGACCAATGTACATTGAAATAATAAAAATATGCACCACAAAATAATTACAGTTTTGGAAAATCAATTCCTTAATGGGAGTTAAGATTTTGGCTGTTTTCTTCATGTTTTGGCTTGGTGCAGAGCAAATGGTTCTGAAGGATTTTACTGAGTGGGTGACACTATGCAGCACATGGCAATGACTTAAGTAAACAGTCACACTGCATTAAAACAGAAAATTTGCATTAAAAATACAGCTAAATTATATACTCCTGAGTATTTTACTCATACCTTTTTGCAGCATGGAGTTCAAAAAGGAACATTCATTTTCTGTGAAGCCTGGTACTTGAAACAATAGCCAGAATTACCCAAATTGCTTTTCTCTTTGCACCAGGAGACAAAGTTCTAAAATAACACCTTAGAGTACTTTACAATTTGGAATAACAATGCCATTCTCTTCCTTTTCAGCTGGATTTGAACAGGATTTGAACAACTGAAAGCTACCAGAAATAGCCGAAATTCTACCATCATAAACAAATTGCAGATGTGGTTTACTATCTGGCTTTTGTTGGGCCTAGACAGTGTTATTTTGTGTGCTTTTTCAAAATAGTATTTTTCACCTCCTATCAATCCACTAAGACAGCATCTCATGCTCCATAAAGAGAGAACCTGGCCAGCTACCTAAAACCTGCACTCACACAAGGACTGAAGGAATAATTGTGAGAAATGATGGAGCTTTCTTCTGCCACATTTCCCCAGGGAGGAAGAAAGATGGGAAAAATGCAATCTCTCAGTGGAAAGAGAAAACCAAGTAGACTTTCATGCTGCTGTGAGCTGGGTTAGACATACATACTGTGCCCTGTTGGAAAAAGAGCAGGGAAAATGTGTCTGTGTATCCTGGTAATGAGGGCTTCTGAAGTGCAAAGCATCAAATTGAGCATTCAGGTCCAGACACATCAATTCAGGTCCAGTTTGGGATAAACAGCACATGAAGTATCAGGAGTAAAGAGAATTTTAAGTCTCTGCCCCTGCCTGGGGTTGCTTTCATCTGTGGCACATGTTGATGTCCTCAAGAGGTTTTAATATGGGTCAGGAGGTCTGTCAGCTTTCCCCTCATACCTGAATCCTCCCCAGACCAACTACTGGGAGCAACTCACAGCTCATGAGTCCAGTCCTGTGGGTTATGTGTCACACAGAGGGGTATCAGTTCAGATTCTCTGTCCCAACATACAAAATTGTTGAGTGAACTACTGAGCCTCAGAGTTCACGTTATCAGCCCAAATCTTTCAGATGGCTCTGGAAGCTCTGGAACTGTAAGAGGCTGGGATCTGCTGCTGTCTGAGCTTTGGAGCATCAACCAACCTCTAGTGCAATTCAAGGCAAGCGATGAGTTTGTTTCAGCTAAATCCCAGTTTCAGCTAAACACCTGATGCTTCATTCAGATGCCACCCTTGAGTACTCAACACTTGGTGGAGTGCAATTAGTTCCCAATGTTTGGTGACACCCTGCTTCTCCCATACAGGAAAACTAAACATTTTATGTAACTATCTGACATTAAGCTGTCACAATCTGCTGCAGTCGGTGAACTCTGTATTAAATATAACGCACAGAGCTACGCCAGTGTGGGTGGACAACATAATCAGGCATCCTCAAAGATACCTAAATCTGTGAGCAACCTACATACTGTGCCTGCATGAAAGGACATATTATGGTTGATCGTGACAAGAGCTTCTCTTCTAAAAGCACTTTCAAAAAATGTAATGGGAATTTTTAACCCATACATCCTCTCTGCATCAGTGAGTCCTTCTCCCACCACTCCACAGCACAGGTCCTACATTTGATCCAACATTTACCACCTGGTCTGTCACCACCTCATACCTATGGCATGGCTGTGTTTGAAAGGATTGGGACTGGGAGAGGAAAAATTAAGACTTAGTACTTAGAGAAGGTTTTTTGAGTAAATGAAACAAACTTGCTTTTGTGTGTCTGTGTGTCTGCAGCTACAGATAAAGGGACGCTGCTGTGAGATTGCTTGCTTGATTTGAGCAGGGTACCTTGTCCATTAGAACATCACAGCTCAAGAACAATCTGAAGGAAAAATAGCTACTGATTTTCATTTTCAAGGCATAAAGATCAATCCATTGATAGCTTTTCCACTTCCACTACTTAGAAATTAGACCATGGCTTCCTTAATTTCAGGAGATTTAACTCAATGCACTACACTCCTTGTACCTTAGTTTAGAGTAAAGTTAATGAGGAGTTCATTACAATGTACAGTTTAAGATTTGACTGTTGACTATCTAAATATAAGAAAACTCATATTACAAATATGTTTGATTGAGAAAGCATCAGGAAATGTTATTTTTCTCCCAGAAGATTTGAATAATCGGTTTTACCATCCAAAGCCAATACATACATGGACTATTGCAAGATACAAGGCTTCTGTCCAGCACCTGTTCAAACTTTAGCATAAGGTGTTGTTTTGATGGCAATGGGACTGCTCTAATGGAAAAACCTAAGCTTTAATATACATGTTAGGAGTATTATGGCCCTAAATTTTGATTTTATATTGCCTTTTGGAAGGTCACTGCATTGCTGTGATAGAAAGACTAATCAGAACATAGGCAGTCTGTACAGTTTTTTCAGCAAATACTATATATGTTCTATTTTATCCGTCATTAATGTACACTGAAGAGTTTTGTGTTAAGTTAGTATATTCTTTGCTTACCTGTACTACTGAGAAAAGTATTTCAGGTTTCCATTTCAGGTTTTTCCTTTTTAGAATATTTTCAACAACATTAGGAAACATTTGCTAAGTAATAAACAAAGCCTAATATCACAATAGTCATCATATGATATTTACTTGCCAGATGTCTCCAAGAAAAAAGCACCTCATTTCAGCTAATGTCTTTAAAGAAATTCTGTTCCTCTTTTCCTCCTCCCTCTCTGCTCCAATAGCTGAAAAGCCAATAAAAAAATTCTCCACCTCCTCCACAGTTCAGAACAAGATCTATGTGCATTTCTCCTAGGCATGTTTTGAGATCCAGAAGGGGATGAAAGTAGCTAATGTGCAACGGGAATCCTGATTTCAGATACAAACCTTCACCTTTCCATTGACCTTGCTAATATGCTGCAAGCTAAATATTTAACATTTTTTTGATCAACCTAAGTCCAGCCTGGGGAGAAGAAACAGTTAAAGAAATGTCTCAAGCATACTTGCATTCAGCTAATCAGACTTTGTGTGCATCTATGGATGGTACAGCACTGAAATCAATCACTGACAATGAAACAACAAATGAAAAATGGACCGAAGACTCTTTTCCAGGATTAGAAATACTGTGCACAATTTACATCACATATGCTGTGATCATTTCAGTGGGTCTCCTTGGAAATGCTATACTCATCAAAGTGTTTTTCAAGATTAAATCAATGCAGACGGTTCCCAACATCTTCATCACCAGCCTGGCATTTGGAGACCTGCTGCTCCTCTTAACCTGTGTGCCTATAGATGCAACACGTTACGTGGTGGATACCTGGCTCTTCGGAAGGATTGGGTGCAAGCTGCTGTCTTTCATCCAGTTAACCTCAGTTGGAGTGTCAGTGTTTACCCTGACTGTTCTCAGTGCTGACAGGTGGGTCTGTGCAACTGATTTGCCAGGAGATGCTGCAGGTGTGAAGTTAGAAATGGATAAGAGAGCAGAAGTTGTTGTTTTGCACAATATTAAATAGCACATTGTAATAGACTAAAAACAAACCCAAAACTGACCAGTCTCCCATGGAATTTAAAAACACGCGTTAGTAAAATTGGAGCAGTGCTTTTTATTGGAGTGAGAAAGACTCTTTAAGTCTTTTGACCTTTTATTAGTTTGAAGTACAGTACAGGGGGTTTTCTCAATTGCACAGAAAAGGGAAATTGCTTAAGTTGGGGAAAGGACAGTATATTGGTGCTATCTAGTGGTGCACTAAAGTAGTTAGGTAAGACAAAAAAAAACCTGTGAAAATGAGTGGAAATCCTTTGCCCTATGCATTCAAGAAATCCTAGAACATGAAAGATTGACATGAGGTAAAAATACAAAAGAGAACACAGAACAGAGTGAGGACAAAGGAGTGAATCCAATAATTTGATGGCTACTGTAATTTTCAGTTTCATAAGTGTATATATATATTTTTTTATATATGTTTTCTCTTGTAGTTCTTATGTCATTTACAGAAATATTTTAGCCCAGATGTCCTGAAATTAAACTCAGGTTACAATGACAGCACTGCTAGTAGGGACCACTGCTTTGACTGCTGTCAGGAGTTGCTGAACAATCAGTTTTCCAAGTACTTCTTTCCTGAATGAAAAAAAGCTAAGATGAAATTTCATTTCAATCAGCAGGAGCATGTCAAGGAGTAGAAAAACAAAAAATGAAATTTAATAGTAAGAGAGAAAAAGATTTTCATCTAGTATGCCAGCAATCGTGGATTGTATGTAATAGCAAGTGATTCATGTGTCCAGAATTTAAGCAATGGTGCTGCTGCTGTACTCCAAAAATAATCATCCAGCACAGGAATGGCCACAGTGGGGCAGATCAAGGGTCTATGTAGGACAATACCAGCATCCAGCAGTGGTAGTACAAAGACAAAAGACACGTAGGAAGAACAAAAACCTCTATCCAACACTATACTTAAACCCTAAGCCTTCAGATGACCCCCTAAGCAGATGTGGTTTCTGTCTATTTAATAACCTCAATGGGTTCTAGATCCTTGTCCAGCCTCTTCTTGAACTTGTTCAGCAATGACTTTCAGTGCCTGTTGAATAAACAACTTGCCTTCATTTGATGGCACTGTCTCTTGTGCCAGAATCCCTATCCATCTCTCCCAGCTATTCATGTTATATTCCATCCTTAGGATGTTTGTGTTTCTTTTAGTAATTTTTCTAATAATACCTAACATTTGGGGTTATGTTGGGGGGGGATTTAAGGGTTTGGTGTGTTTTTTTAACTACTGCTTAATATTAAGCTAATGTTTTCACTGAACTATCTATCATAGCTCCAAGGTCTTGGTCCTGTATGACGTCAGTTCGGAACCCACCATGGAGTAAATAACCTTTAAAGGTCCCTTCCAAACCCACCTACTCTCTGATTCTACAGTTTAGACACTTGCTTCTGTATTTAATGCTTCATGGTAGCTGTTACATAAATACTCCATGCCACATTTTCACAGGGTAACTACATGGTAAACTTACTGAGAAGGCTCAGATCGATCACGTGCTCGGTGCCCGACTGTCATGTTCCCGTATGCTAGAAGAGCCCTAAGTCAATAAAAATGGTATTTGTTTGATAAATAGCAATCCAGCTTCCAGTCTTCTATTTGAATTTGCCTAGCAGAGAAAAAGACCACATCCTTAGCTTGTGCAAAATGGTACAACTAAGCTGTCTTATCCTCTGGGTCATTTTCCACTGCCTTTCCTTTCATGCCAGTCTTGTGCCCTGCTGGAGGCGTCACTTCTTTCTGCCTTATGGAAAATCCCTGATCCTTGAGGAACTGGATATACTGTTGCTTGTGCTTCACCCACCTTCATGGGAGTTGGTCCTCTTTCTGTGTCCCATTTCCACACATATTGTCACATATCTGTAGATTTACCCAGATTTTTCTCGTCTGCCTGACTCAGTCCACATGCTGCAGAGTCACAGGCATGAATCAACAGCAGTGTCCGCTCCTGCTTTATAAATATGAATGAATCCTGGAGCATTACTTTGAGTCAGATCACTGCACTCCACTGAGATCTTAGGAAGATGGAAGAAAGGAGGGCTGTACATGCTTGGGTTCATGATTTATGAAATAGCTAACCTGTTTCACACCTTTACCAGTTTTGCATACTAATTCCATCATTTACCTTTCTAGGCAGTACCACAAAATTAGGAGAGATGATTGCCCTTACTGATCCCAGTCCAAACTGAGTAAGTCACCTTTATTTAGGAAGGCTTTAATGGCAAGTCCTGCCAGACAATCCATTAAAATACATGTTTAAAATTAGTTTTCACATTTCCATCTTAATTCCAAAGAGCTAGTATCTGTTTTCATTTCTAAGACAATTCCAGCACCCTTACTTTAGCAGGAACAGTAATGGCTTTAGCCTTAAGAAGTTTGCACTGTCAGTGATTGCATTATTTCTGTATTTCTTCTGACAATGATGTTGGTGGTTTTAGGTACAGAGCCATCGTGAAGCCCTTGGAACTGCAGACTTCAGATGCGCTCCTGAAGACCTGCTGCAAAGCTGGATGTGTTTGGATTGTCTCCATGATATTTGCTATCCCAGAGGCTGTTTTTTCAGATTTGTATTCTTTCAGCAATCCTGAGAAAAATGTAACTTTCGAGGCGTGTGCCCCCTATCCTGTATCCGAGAAGATTTTGCAGGAAGCTCATTCCCTGGTTTGCTTCTTAGTGTTCTACATTGTGCCCTTGGCTGTCATTTCTGTCTACTATTTTCTCATAGCCAGAACTTTATATAAAAGTACATCCAACATGCCAGCAGAAGAACATGGTCATGCCCGTAAGCAGGTAAGCTATGATCAAGCTCTAAAGTGTCCAATTTCCCAAAGTCTATTGTGATGATGAACTCTGAATTCTTGAGTACAAAACTTTACCTGATAGTGGAGTAAAAAAACTCCACAAACTCAGCCCACACTGGCAACCCAAACTCAGCTGTGCTCTTACACACGTGCTCATGACTCACCACTCGTGAGTGTCCATGCTTTCCTAAAGAGGGATGGGTCTGTTGTGCTTTATCATGATCCTGTAAACTCAGGAGTTAAACCATTGATTTGTAAACACTTGTGGTTTGGTGTTTTGTTTGTTTGTTTTATTTTTTCATTTAGGTTTATTTGGTTACTAATGCAGTTAGATTTTTACACTCCTTCGCCAGTCAGCACCAACAACACAAACATGTCACTAATTGCTACTAATACCTGATACACGTTATTTTTTTTTTGTAGATTGAATCCCGCAAGAGAGTTGCAAAAACAGTGCTGGTGCTTGTTGCTTTGTTTGCCTTTTGCTGGCTGCCTAACCACATCCTCTACCTGTACCGCTCCTTCACATACCACTCTTCTGTAGATGCTTCCACCTTCCACCTGATAGCGACGATTTTCTCCCGCGCCTTGGCCTTCAGCAATTCCTGCGTCAACCCCTTTGCCCTTTATTGGCTGAGTAAAAGTTTCCGGCAACATTTTAAAAAGCAAGTCTTGTGCTGCAGGGCAGCGTTTCATAGAAAGCCTCCCAGTGCCACCCAGAGCAATTCTCCTACCAGGGCCCTGTCAGTCACGGGCAGCACCCACGGCTCGGAAATCAGTGTCACGCTGCTGACAGATTACAGCATCACCAAAGAGGAGGAGAGCGTTTAGTTCACGTGGGATGAAGGACAGAAACTGAGCCTTTGCAGTCAAGTCACTGCCACTGGGATCCTGGAAAGAGGTGGCTTGCCCTGTCTGTGAAAGTGTTTTCATCAGGAGTTTCTCACTTTAAAAAATATACAATAAAGAAATCAAACCAAGTGGGAAAAGAAGCTGCAGCAGCTGAACTTTCCAGCATAAGCTCAAAGGGATGGCTTATGTTCCCAACCATGAACACAGATCCCTAGATGGAATTCCTGGACTGGGCAAGAGAGGAATTAGCAGAGTTGGTGTGAGAATTGGCTGTGAGGATGGTTTTTTTCTTGTTGACTTGCTCTTTGACTTGTGACTGAGAGCTCCCTCTAAGTACTTGCATCTACAGCAAGCAAGAAAAACCACCTGGTCATAACATGATCAACCAGGCAGAATTTTGATTTATTTATTTTCTTGTCCTGATTGTTAAATATAGGTAAACATCTCAGAAAGAATGTTAAAATGAAAGAAGGTTAAGGTTTGTAGCACTGTGAAGTAAAAAAAGTAAAGCATTATGGGCCAGATCCACAGTAGCCTTTGCTCTGTCAGTGACTTTGAAACTCTGGCTAAGAGCTGACTGCTGTGTAGTGAGATGGATGCTCTTCACTGTTCCTGAGGAAATCAAGGGAACCAGCAGGTGATCATCTCTCTGAGAAAACTATAATAATCTTTAACAACACTTGTAAAATTCTTTGTGACCTATGGGTAAAACATCTCAATAGTGCAGAGTTCTTCATGATTTAACATCAAGAAATTGGGGTGAATCTGTATCAGAGTTCTAGCTGGGATGCACAGTGAATGCTCAAATGTGCCCTCCTGCCTTACTCTGCTCTGTCTCCCAGAGTGGTCTTGAGTGCACAGTCTGGATTTCTCTCAAATGAAACTGTGTGTCCAGTCCATGGAACCAGACTAGAACAAATTTGAAGAAGAAACTGTACAGTGTGGAGGGCCAGACCAAGCCTCTACCTGCACTGATCCACTCCTGCTGTAGTGTACGTGGTTGTATCTAAGTGGTCTGCACATGTTCAAGCATGCTGGGAGAGCTGGATTTTTCTATTTTACTAATTTTCTATTCTTCAAGTTGTATCCCTTTTTAATATTAGGATAGACTATCTTACTGAGATAGGCCTTCTAATCTCAAATCCACTGATTTTATGGCTCGGCTTGCAGAGACAAGTTGGGACAGCCTGTCCAAGCTCAGCAGCACTGCTGGCAGGGACTGCCTTCCCATTAGGAAATACAGGAGGCAAGTCTTCCTATCCCATGTTACAAAAAAGTTGAATGACACTTACTTTTATGAGTCTTGTGTTCCCTGAACCAAAATTTTATTCTGTGGAAGTTGTTCCGTGGATAGAAAACACAACAGATTTTCCACCGCTTAAACTAAGGGGCTCCTATTTCAAAATAATTTGGGTGTTGAAGTATAGAACAGAAGCTGCAATGTATGAATTAAAATAATTCTGTCAGCCACAGACGCTTCCATTTTAACTAACCCTTGAAGGTATAAGCTCCCTCCAGATGTACAGAGCCCCTAACAACACATGGCTGGAAATCCATCCACCCATGCACCATTATCTGAGTTCATTATAAGATGAGAAAATCTATTTACAGTCTCTCTCTGTTGACTGCCCTAATCATAAAAATAAAACCAAACTATAAATCCCAAGGGCATTGGAATACAACCTCTGTAGTCATCGTAAACCAGTTAATGACAGACCAGTTTAGTCCCATCAGGCCTGGCCTTTTTTTACTACACTCCTCATGTTACAAGCTGAAAGGCTAAAGAACTAATTTTCAAATGCATTCTTCCTTTTATTGTACCAATTGTACATCAGGATAGGATCACTGAAATAAATGGAAATATAATAGCATAGAAACACAATTTATGTCAAAGCAGACTCCAGAGACCTTATTTTACTCTCTTTGTCTTAATGTAACACATTCCTGGTAGTGAGCTAGGTACAAACATAACAAACATATTGCACTGATATTTTCTCCTTCTCTTTTTTCTTCATGGAGCTGGAGGGTGAGACTGAAATAAGTAGATAAGCCCACACACTTATGAACCTACATTTATCTTCCTGGATCTTACTACAGGGAATTCTAAACAAAAGAAAAATCAACAAACATTATGGTTTTACAGCTCCTTACATCATTCTTTATTCTAGCTTAGTAAAGCCTTTGGGAAACAAATCTGCTACATGTTTCTGGATTTCACAATTTGTCTCTGTTGGAGACCAAATTTCCCACTGCAAAATCCTTGGTTACATCTCAGAGCAGCCATTAAAAACCACGGTTTCCCAATTCACCATTTTTCTTGCCTTGCATGCAGCTACTTTTTGCTTGTGTAACTACTCCTCTAGCTGGGTGGTCTATCTATTGCTAATATATCTTGTTACAAAACTGATGGTTTTGCTATATCCTGCACATGTTTTTGTTAAAGACTGGCAACATTTCAAGCCATAATTTAATTATTCTGTGTACTTTATACTTCGATAATTCTGTACTTTCAAATCTTCATGACATGTTGTACTCGAGTAATATATTGGTCAACATATATTTTTATCTAAACAATCTGATATTATTCATTTCATCTACTCCCCACAATATAATTATCCCTAAAATGTCTCCACATCACCATAACTGGATTTAGGGGAAAAGGGTTGTTTTCTTTGCAATCTTTTCTCAGTGTTCCAAAGCCAGGTTCTTTCACCCCTAAGTAATACAAGTGTAATTCTATAAGAGCATGTGCAAATAACTTCTATTTACAGTAATACTGAGAGTTATTTAGTGAAGAGTTGGGATGAATAATTAGGGGTTCACTATTTATGTCCACAGTATAAGAACAGGTAGAAAAATGGCACAAAATACTGAAAAGCAAGAATCCCTCAAAGGTCTTGTTCATGCAGAGTCTTACTGAGAAAATAAATACGATTTCTAGGAAATAGGGTTTTTATAGTTTGTTTTGTGAATGAGATATACACACTTTTTATATTCACATTAGCAACAGTTTTAAAATCAGTACTCTGTGCTGTCACAAGATGCCAGTGTAGTTAAAAAAAAAACCAAAAATCCACAAAAATTAACACATCCATGTCAAAGCAGTGCCACAGTGTAACTGACTGCATCTCCAGCAAATGGCACAGGGTATTAAAGTCAGTTACACAGTTAGAGCCATTTTAAAGCTCCCACTTCTCTTCTCATAGAAACTGCTTTGTTTTGTTTTATTTTACAAGGGCTGCCTGCTGACACTTGTGTGTTTATGCTAAGGATATTACAATTAAAGAATAAGCCAAAGTTACACACAGTCACAGTACTTACACATTTCGATCAGTGGTACTTAAAAAATATAATATGGGCTCTAATCAGTGTTTAGTTATAGGCTCTGCCACAGATGGGCCCCTCAGTGCAAGGTGAACTGTGAGGTGGAATTTCTGTGCATAGGACAGGATATTGAGTTTTTAGCACATCTGTACTGGTCCCGTAATTTTTCACACTGTGAATTTTTCACACTCTCACTAGTCTGTGTAACAGCTACAGGTTCCAGACCCACGGAAAGTCCAAACAGGAGTAACTTCTCTGTACTTAACCATTAATTACTGCCTCCTTAATTTAACATAACAAAGCAGCTCAAGGAAAGAGTGTTTACCTAATTAAGTATTAGCTAGTGATTTGCTGCTTCCCCTCTAACAGACAGCAAAACACCACTTCAGGAAAACCAAGGTATCCCTACTCTTAGTGGATGGCATCTCTAGACCAACAATCAGCTCTGATGAGCCAAGATAGCCTTGTATAACACAGAAGAGTCAGACACAGACACAGAATCATGCTAATGCCTCCTTTTAATATTTACTTTGAGACATTTTCTTAGGATTTAAAACACCATTTCTTGACAGTTTAGACTGATCCAAGCTGTAGGACACTCGAGCCCATCCCCAGAACATGCAGCTTGGAGCAGCAGTGCTTGCGCAGCCATGAGTTGTATCACTTCGAGGATGTGATTGAGAGGAAAGCTGTGTCAACTCCCAAAAGTGATGCGTTTGCAGCCGAATCAGCTCCCTGGGCTGGCCCTCTGTGCTGCCTTTACCAAGGAGGAAGGGAACAGATGGTGGTGACTCCACAGGAGGCGGTGCCGCAGCAGCTGCCGTCACACATGCTCTGATCTGCGGGGAAGTGTGAGGACTCGAGGCACTGTGTCCTCGTAGCCTCGTTAGAGTGTGCAGATCAGATCTACCTCGCACTAACCTCCCTGCACACAAGCACGCTCTCATTCCCATCGGATGGAGATTAAATCTGGAACTCCCGCTCCCCACAAAAGTGCCTCTCTGTAAGCAGATCTGAACACCAGGGAAAGCTGTACTGCCTGGGCACAGACCTTGCTGCAATCACTCGGGTTATAAACATAAAAACCCCTGCCAAAATGAAACGAGCAGGTTAAGACTTAAATTGTGTCTCTCTTACAATGTCGAGGCTGTGATTATCTTATTTCCCAACATATATCCAATTCCAAATTTTATAAGTAAGCACAGTTTATGTCCAGCCTCTCACGCTCCTCTCCACAATCCAATAACTGTTTGAAAGTGAAGACAAATGTCCTTTAAGCTGTCAGTTTATAAGTGATCACAAAGCAATCTTTGGACAACTACCGTAATAGCCCTGCCAAGAGAAAATTCTTGAAGCATCAAAGATGTCATTAACTAGGCTGGATGTTCTTTGTGCGACAGCCAAAGGTTACTAGAACTCTATATTTATATCCTCAGCAATTTCATCTGACAGCCTGTTGCCCAGGCAGGGAGCTGATGTTGGTCTTTCCCTACAGAGCTTCACGATCTCGTGTCTTTGATTTTATTATCATTCCAGTCTGTATGACAGTAAAGATATATTTGTTCCTGGAATACTGATTTCCAGAAAATGTCTGAATATTGTTTTTATTTCTGAGTGGAAAGATTGCTTTGCCCCTGGCAACTGGCCACTGCCAGCTTTGATGGGGCTCAATTTTCATTTAAAACAGGTGGCTATTTTAATACCTAGGGTTTATAGCTCTAGGTTAAATTTTGCAAAACAACCTAATCAGTGTGCTTCTTCATCCTCTAAATAAAACACTTTTAAACACAGCCATTAAATTTGGTTTTGATGTAGCTGCCTGGGCTACACTGTGAAAACCACTAGATGGCACTGAATGCAGGTCTTTTAAAAATTGATTCGCGTGAGAAAATTGTATTTAAAATATTTAAGTATTCACAGGCAGAGTACTAACTGCAGACTTCATTAATGCAAACTAATTCCGTGTTTTGAAGCCAAGCCTCATCCCGCTGTCCCAACGTACCCACCCTTTCCAAGGGGAGCACAACAGCCATGGCTGGACAGCCCTTAGCCAAGGGAGGAGTAAGAAGCAGTGTGATTTCTTGACATTTCGCATGCCATTTTTGTTTCATTTATCTTTTTGGTTTTGCCTTTGTCTCTAGCAGGACACGAGGACCTGTCACTGCCAGACGACGGCCAGCACCACTGACAGAAGCAGCTTCACTGACCAGCGTTGCCCAGGGCACAATGGCGAATGGCATCGCAGCAGGAAGTACTTTTATTCGTGTCCCAAACTTTTATTTATCACGTAAGCAAAGCTGCAGCAGCGCCCACGCAAAGCCCATCAAGGCACAGCTTCTCGCCCACAGCTGTCTGGCGCATCAGAGGCAGCCGCCCTCACGCCGAAGCCCAGCCTGTGGTGAAACAGCGCTGCAGCCGGAGGCAAAGAGAAAGAGAAAGGGAAGAAGGCGATGCGGGAGTCCCACCACCCCCAACAACCCTCGCCCTCAGGGCCCGTCACGGCCGCGCTCAGGGCCCGCCCACAGGCGGAAAACACACCCCGCCCCCTGCGCGCGCCCGCCCCTGGACAGGCTCCCCCCCCGCTTCTCATTGCTCCGCCGTTCCCCGCGTGACCCGACAGCGCGTCGTTCATTGGCTGCGGCGCGGGGCAGGAGGCGGGCGGGCGAAACCACCCCGGTGGTGGCGGCGGCGGGGCAGGGGCGTTTCGGTGCTGTGCGCGCGGCGGGGGCGTCACGGTCGCGGCGGCGCCGCGTGAGGCGGGTGGGGGTCCGCGCGCGCTCCCGCCGCTCCCGCGCGCTCCGCCGCCCAGAGGGGCGGGGCCGGCGGGCGCGCGCCTCAGGCCGCGGAACGAGCGCGGGTTTGTCCAGGCCCGGCGCCAGGCGCGGGTTGTCCAGGCCGGCGCGGGTTGCTCAGGCCCGGCGCGGGTGACCCAGGCCTGGCGCGGGCCGAGTCCCGCCGAACGGGGCAGGATGAGCGGCGAGGACGGGAACGAGGAGTTCTACCGGCAGCTGCAGCTGCAGCAGCAGTACCAGGCCGAGCCCGGCGAGGGCGAGGGCGAATCCGACCCCTTCACGTACGTGGACCCGGCGGACGGGGCCGCCTACGAGTGGGACCGGGAGAAGAAGGCCTGGTTCCCCAAGGTGGGTGCGGGGGTCCCCGGAAGGTGAGGAGGAGGAGCAGTCGGGGCTGGGTCCCCTCGGCACGGAGGTGTCCGCGTTCTGCCCCACTTGTGTCTGCTGAGGGCTCGGTGGCACCGAAACCCCCCTTTTTACAGACAGAGCCGTCTCCGCCTGTGACCGGCTGCGATTTTGTTGCGAAGAGCTGTGTCTCAGCTGTGTCTCAGCTTCTCGCCTTGGCTGAGGATCTGCGGAGTTGCTCGAGCCTGGCATGAAGTCACAGTTATATTTGTAGGTCTTGGTCCGTGCTGCCTTTAGATCTCTTTGTCACAGTGGCTGTGGTGATCTTTTTGTGGGCAGTGAAGTGTCTGTTAAGATGTCTAGATGAAAATATATCCTTTCTAGGTGAAAGTATATCCCTCTTTCATTATTACCTGAAAATAGTGCCTTGTACAGGTGCGATCTTCCACATCCTTCAGTCACAGAAGTGCACTTGAAAATTAAGTGTATTTGTCTTACTTAGTGGCATTCCACAGCATGGAAACACGTCACAGTTTTTCATCTTGGTTATTTTTTTATTAAATATTTTCAGGATAAAGAATGATTTTGCTATAACACTGTGTTTCTTCAAAGGGAGAAGGGACATAGGTTTAATTAGTTGAGCAAATCTGCTGATCTGCAAGTGAAATAGTGGTTTCATTACCGTATAACAATGAACGAGGGCAATTAATTTAGTATTAAGACATTTTATGGGGTCTGCTTGATAGATGTAATGTGCCAGTTCTAGTTTGTGACTGTGAGTTCATTGCAATTCAGAGAAGCTGAGTGAGAATGAAGCCTGTAGTGCCAAGTTTGAATGTGTGTAAACCTAGGAAGGTGTCTGCAGCAGATGGCTTATGGAGGGGTAAAAGCATTGAGAAATCCAGACTCACAAAGTGGAACACTGAGTACCCCTGGCTCCCTGTGGAGTGCTATATCCAGTAAGCACAGTAACTTGTAAAAAGGTTCTTCTTTTTTTTACCTATTTCTTCCCCTCTTTCTCAACTATTTTTTTAAATTTTTCTCCTCTCAGTATCATTTGATATTCCCAAGTGCCTTTCTTATCTCTTCTGTCTTGGAGAGGAGATAACATTAAAGGTTGGACAGGTTAAATAAGAGCAGCGAAGTTCACTAGTAAATATGATGTGTAGGAGAAGTTGGTGACCTACCAGTGACCCACAGAGCTTCACAAAGATTCTTTACTGAGCTAGACACCCGTGTCTCAGGTTACTTCTTCTGCCTGATGATTATTCAACAGAATGTTTTATCAAAATAAATTGGAGAGACCACCGGAGCCAGAAGTTGGAGTACTTTCTCCATGAGCAGTAATAAAATTCTTAATCTCTGTTTCTTGACAAAAGATGAAAATATGACTGGTGTAACCATCATCTACAGACTGGGACTGCACTGCTGCTCTGCTTTGGGAGTAGTGGCTGCTGAGCTTCCACTAAAGCATATTTCAAAGCCATTCAAAAAGTGAATGATATTAACTGTCAACATTCCCCAGAAAAACTTGGAGACAGTCAAATATTTAATAGAAGCAATTGTAACCTCGTTTATTATTTAATTGTTTTTCTTTCAATGGTACTGTATTGATGAATACCAAGTTCTATAGTCCTTCATGGACGTATCACAAAATAGCACGAGGAATTCATCTGCTGCCTCCATCACTTGCTGTGAAAATACAGATGTTGGCTGTCATCTGCAGGCACAGGGTATCTGTTCTTCATTTGGTTAATCTATTCCTTTCCATTTCAGTGGGACCAGCAGTTAATTACATGCTCACATGTCCTGTAGTATTGTATTACTTTTCCTATAAGCTTGATCACCCCAACTGTATAATTGTGAGGGTGTGCAGATAGAACTGATCTGTCTGTGATGTTTTCCAACAGAACTGGATTGAAGCCCCAAGTAACAAATTCTGTGAATTGGTGTTTGTCATGCAGGCACAGTATAACATAGTTTCCAATAAAAGTCTTTATATTTGTATAAATTCCTTTGTGCTTGCAAAAAACACATTTTAAAATGAGGTAGTCGTAGTGGTTATATGGTAGGATGATATTATGCAAAAAACATCTTTGTTATTGACTGGTAAAATTTGATAGTCCATGGTAGGTAATTTGCTAAGAATAAATTGAGCTTTACACAAGAACACAGTTCCCCCTGAAGCTGAAAAATAATCCTGCTGCAGGAAGGTGGTTGTTGCAGGTTTAATCACTAATTTATCAGTAAGTTCTCTGATGAAAATTAATAATCCTGTTTACCAGAAAGTACAAAAGCTTCTTAATTCTTTGGATCTCATCAACTGAGGATTGCTAAGGTTGCTTGTGTCAAATATGATGAACCTGGTTAGAGCACAGTGTCTTCTTCACTAAATGTGGTTGTACTTTTTCTTTCTCTTGACATGACTTTGTGTTGGGTCCTGTCTGTAAGAGTAGCCACTTACATTCCTTATCGAGGTGTGTTGCAAGTCTTGTTTAGCCTGGGAGCTATTTTGTGCTAAACTTTAAAGTTATATGGGGCTCCATGACATCTTGCATTATTCCTGACAAGCCTGTTACTGTCAGTTCTGCATTTTTGATTTGTTATAATAGAAGTCTAGAGTTGAAACGTGAAGCTTTGAACCATTAGAAGATGGGAGATTGCATTATCATCATTGACACAGTAGTTTAATGACATCAAGTTTTGTTCTCTGTTGAATACAGATGAACCAAGTGCAGCACAAGTCAGAGATAAAATTTTCAGAGGTTAAGGCTCAGCTTTGGGAATAAATCCTTTCAGAGTGTGTAACTTCAGAAAATCCTTCCTAATGCAGGGATGTTGGCAAAAGCAGCTCTGATACATATCTTTGCATGGGATTGCTAGTGGCTAGTATTAAAATTGGTACTGGGGGTAATTTGTAGGGATTTTTTTATTTTGACCTCTAAAACATAGGCATTAGCCAATCTTAAATTTTATCCAAGTATAGTCTCTCTCTAGAAAAGAAGAAGCTAATTATCTATTAGTAGGATATGAAGTAAAGCATGTGGCCTTAGAAACAGTGTGTTAAGATACATCTCTGCCTAAGTGCAGTATTTACTGTCTGTCAACACAAATATATGTCCTCCCTGGAAATGATTCCATGAAAAGGCAGATGCCTGCAAATGTCAGTCGTTCATCATCTGTGGATAAGTTGTTGACTTACTGTCAGTGTCACTTTATCTCTTAACTATGGCCAGGAGCATTTGGTTTCTGTCCTTCAGGCAGGTCCAATTTAAGTGGAAAGCAGAAAGCTTGGTTTGAAAAAAGTCAGAACTTGTGAAATGTTTGTGTAAAAACTTCATGTGCTGTATAGAATTAGTGTGTTTGTCCAGTTGAGGTAATGCCTGAACTTGTTATGCATATGGCTTTGCAAAGATGATTTAAAACCAGTTTTAAAATACCGGATTGGAAAATGACCATCACCTGACTAACATGAAAACACAAACCTGAATTTGTAGTTCTTTGAAATGTTTGATTAATTTTCCTAATTTCTTTTCAGATAACAGAAGATTTCCTGGCAACCTATCATGCCAACTATGGCTTCCACGCAGATGAGACAGACACTTCATCTGCCCCTGGCACAGCCACTGAAAGTAAGCAGCCAGTAAGTTCTAAGACAGCAGGAACACAACCATCAGCAAATGAGAAAGGACCAAAACAAACAGATCCAAAACAAAAATCAGAAAAAAGAAAGCTGGAGCCAGGTAAGTGACAAAGTATTTCCCTATGTTTAGCTGTGACGTGTAGTAAGGAGTGAAAACTGGCAATTGTTCAGTGTTGTCTGGTACAGCAAAGATATGGGTTGTGCTGAAAATTTCCAGGTGGTTCTAAATTTTGTGGTACTTCATAGATATCCTCCTAAGTGTGTATGCAAGGTGGAAAAAAGCAAATTAAGGCATGTTCAGAGCTGCCTCTTGAGCAAGCAAAAATTGTTAGAAATCTGATAGAATATAAACATTACCGTATGCTGCCATGTTTAATGTATTACCATAACTGAATTAAAACTCTTGTGTTTAGGATGGTTTCATGTTGAAGAAGACAGAAACACAAATGTTTATGTGACTGGTAAGTGTTTATTTATCTACTTGGAGCTAAAGATGGTAAAAGAGACTCGTAGAAGTCTTTAATATTCTCTAGTCAATCTGCCACTTGCAAGCTGCTTAATGTTATGTTCCTGACTGCATAATGTCTTGGTGACCTTTAAATTGCAGATGTGGGAGAGTAGTCAAAGGGACATGCTCTGTGCTTTTGTCTGCTAAATGTGATATTCTGTGAGCTGTGTCAGCCAAGTCACTAATTTGTTTGGGTTTTTTTAAGCAAAACAATTTCTGCAGGCTCTTAGGGGATAGAATAATGACAAGTTTATAACCAGATAGTGCATCAGCTATAAACATCACTTAATCTTTAATTTTTATTTTATTTAATAAATGCATAATTAAATTACTAGGTAAGAAAGAGGAAACAGTAAAAGAAAAAAAGGCTGAGAATAGAATGAGAAAATAATGGGGAAGCTTAAATGAAATTATCTGTGCCCTTATTATGGTGTTTCTTGACCTGTTTTGGATTGTGGGGAGCTACCCTTGGATGCATATACAGAAGAACATTTGTATATGTATATGCTCAGTGGCTCTGAGCAGTCACAGAAGTGCACATACTTGAATTCTCAAAAATCTTCATCCAGGCCAAACTAGCATGGAACATCCACATAATTTTCTTATCCGTTTTGGGTTTTTTTCTTGTCCTTAATTCAAAGTTCAGACCTTATAAAGTCTATACATTTTCAGTCGCTCTTTTTGTCGAATTTGTAGGTGGAGAAAATAGTTGTCAGTTTATAGGTTGGGGTTTTTTTTTGTCCATAGACCATACTCAAGCCTTCTGTTTGAATTTATTTTGCAGGTTTACCTCCAGACATTACAAAGGATGAATTTGTACAAGTCATGTCAAAATGCGGTATCATTATGCGAGATCCTCAGACAGAAGAACACAAAATCAAACTGTACAAAGATAAGGAAGGAAATCTTAAAGGAGACGGCCTCTGTTGCTATCTGAAGGTCAGTGGTGCACTGAAATGAAGTTTTCCTTCCCACTGAAAGTACTTGTGGCCGCTGTTTCAGAATCATATTCAGGAGGTTGTTGAAACATCTGAAGTGTAACTTGAAATTTAGGTCTCTCTTTTAAAGGTTTACTCTAGAAATGCCCACTTGTGCACCTCTTATCCAACCCCACCCTCTACCTGAAAGTGGCCATAATAGCTGCTGAACATGTCTCCCTACACGTTCCTCTCTTGGGTGACAGTGATTATGGGGTGAAATGGGGGACTGTTTACCTTTTACTTTGAAAATATGCTACTGTGTAACTGAGGATACTGTATACCAAGGACTGTAGTCCTGTATATACACTTTTAGTTGAGAACTGGTTGATTTCAGAACTCTGTTACGTTCTTTATTAAGCCATAAAAGTTTAGGCTGCAGTACTGTTTCCTTCATGTGTTTCACTTGTGAATCATTTGGAAGGTTGGTGCTTCCAAGTGCAACCTGCTTTAATTCTGCAAGAAAAGCACCAGGCAGTGCTAAATCCAATGTCCTGTACTCTGTGCTGGTTTTGTAATTGGAGTAGTTAGGGCTGTTCAGTGCACAAATATAAAGACAGGCTCCACTCCAAAGGACTTTCAAGAAAATATTAAAAATTACATGAGAGTCTCAACATCTGCTGTTCATGGAAAAGTGATATAAGCTTTATAGGAAATTAGTCCCCTGAAGTCTTTTTATTCTTTAAGTTTATCAGCTTGCCTGATGGTTGCAGTTTAGTTTCTGTGACATATTTGAATGAACTGTGTGCAGTTGCTTTTGGGAGCATTAGTCAATTATAACAGGAGTGCAGAAATACTGGGTTTTGATCAAGAAAGCATTGCCAGCTGTGTGTCAGGAGATTTGGAAGAGAAGTGGCCTTTTCAGTGACAGGGACCTGATGCTTTGCACAATATACTTAACACCACGTTATTGGGATCATTTGACTGTGCTCTGTGCTTTAAAGCTTGTGCTGTGTTTTATTTTCAAATAGAGAGAATCAGTTCAACTTGCATTGAGGCTTCTGGATGAGGCAGAAATCCGAGGCTATAAATTGCATGTGGAAGTTGCAAAGTTCCAACTGAAGGGGGAGTATGATGCAAGCAAAAAGAAGAAGAAATGTAAAGACTACAAGAAGAAGCTGTCTCAACAGCAGAAGTTTGTATTTTTTATTTCAGTAGAATATTGCTTGAATTCTAAGTGCTATTAGTAAAGTGCTGCTTTCTTTCAAATGCAGTGCTAAGCTATGCAAAAGTTAAAGTCTTATCTGACAGTGAAATACCTTAACTAATGCTCATTTAAAGGGGAGCTACTCCTAAATTAAATGTTAATATAATGAGCTTCTTTGTGACTTAAACATTAAAATAATACATAGGGAGCCATGGTCCTTTCAGGTGTAGAAGAAAATATTACAACTCTGGGGAGATAAGACACTTCTGAGTGTGTGAGTGTGCAAGGTATCCTGTCATGATATTTGGGCTTGCTGTTATAAGGTCATAACACTGACTGCCCACATGTATTTTGTACCATAATGCAATAGTTAAAAAAGGGCAAAAGATGCTTGGCTGCCATAGGAGAAAGTACTAAAATATCTCTGTAGATTCCCCCAGACATCTGTCTCTGGTATAAAATATACTGATTTTTTTTAATTGTACCTTGATTCATTGCTTTTGTCGCTTAAAAACTGTTTTTCTGCCTTTTGGAACCAAGAAGATGCAGATTAAAGAAGAAAGAAGTTTGAACTTTTGATATTTTATTGAAAGCAACATTCCACTGAACATTGTAAATAGTAATGCAGAAGTGTTTTACCATAGTTAAAGGGAGCAAAGGCTACTTGATATCTTATCTATTGAAAACAGAAGTAGCTTGAAATGTGTCTGCCCCAAGGATGCATTGGCAGTTCTTGTTGTGAGAAGTCTCCAGTGTGGAGATGATGAATGAAAATAATTAAACTGCATTTGACAGCAATTTGTGTGAATAAAATGACTGTGTTCCTTTTGAGTTGAAGAGCATAATTTACTGGTAAAACTACTCTCATTGGGAATCCATGTTTTCTTTAGCTAAAGTAGGAGATATAAGAAGGAATTTAAGATTTTCCCCTGATATATGATTTTGAGATTTAAAAGTGTGAGTATGTGGGGTTGTTTTGTAATAGGATATGAAGTAGGCATTTCTATGAGAAGTAACATCTGCTGTGAGAAGGCAAAATCTTAGAACAGGTGCCCTGAGTTACATGACTAGTTTGTGGCACTGTGGAACAAAACACATCTCACAGCAGTGCCTGTGTAGGAGTCAAAGTCTTCTTGCATGTTTGTTTAAATAAAAGCAGTTAAGTTTTACTAAAGGGAATAGTGGATCTCCTTTTTTACAAAATAAGTTAGGAAAAAATGGCAAAATATCAGCATTTTAATTGTACTTGGCAACAACTGATTCCTGTATCTGAGCTGAATCTAAGAAGAAATTAAAACTTCAAAATTATTTTCTTTGGGTTTAAAAAAATGCTTTGATTTTTACTATAATTTATATTCCTTCTTTGAGCTTTAAATACCTTTGTAATGCTTTGTAGAAGTGGTAAACCTGGGTAATTATTGTATGTTTTAGACTAATAACTTAACGCTTTGTGTCAAAAATACGTGTTGATGTATTGCAAAAAATGCCAAATTAATAATTTTTTTTCAACAAATACTTGTAGAAACTGAAGAGAGCCGCAACAATATCTTCTTACTGTTGCTTCATTTCATTAGACAGCTGGATTGGAGGCCGGAGAAGAAAGATGGTGCAACTCGAATGCGACATGAACGCATCGTTATTATCAGGAATATGTTTCACCCAAAGGACTTTGAGGTAGGAAAATGCAGTTTGCTACTGTAGGTTGGGCTGTTAACAGTTAACATTGTCTGAAGTTTCTGCCATACAAATTTTAGCAAAATTCTAAGCAGATGAGAACCAGATTTGGGCAGGGCATTCTCCTGTACCAGACATCTGCTTGAAATTCATTCAGCTCTCTGAAAACAAGAAAAAGATGGTGGTAAGAATGTATTTTTCAAATCAGCCTTTTTCACTGTCTGTATCCTGACAATATTCCTTTTTGGGATGGAAAGAGGAGTAAACAACAGTAACTGTTAGGATGGAGAAACCAGCACAAAATAGCTTTGTTAATAAGTAGCATTTATAAAATTCTAATAAGAACTGTCTGCCAACTCTTAGGTGGCTTTGAAAATGCAGCATAGCAGCACTTACTTTATGAACTTCTGATGGGTTGGCACATGGCTTCCATTAGTGACTGAGCAAAAATAAAGCTGAGAGAAGTGAATGCTTGTGTTTAATTAAAGCTGTGTGACTGCTTTGCAGGAGGATCCCTTAGTGCTAAATGAGATCAGAGAAGATCTGCGGACAGAGTGTGAAAAGTTTGGACAAGTAAAGAAGGTTCTCATATTTGATGTACGTATTTTTAAATGCTGTGTTGGCAGAACTGATGTAATGTGCAAAGCTGCAAAACGTTTAGGCTGCTTTAAATATGAGTGGAGTGTTTATTTGGTTTTGTATGTTTATTTCATGGAAACTTGATTTAGTCTTTTAGTATTTTAAAACTGCTTTGAAACTTAATGTCTAAGCACCCATCAACTTCAGCCTAAGTGAAGGCAAACTAACTCTTTTGAAGAACTTGAATACAAGTCACAAGTTTGAAAGTATATAAATACATTTAATTGTATCTAAGCTAGCTGAAACATTTCCTGTTTCCTGTGTTCAAAAACTGTGTTCTGTATGCCAGTAGAACAAAATATGTAAACTTGGAAACTGATATTTTCAAACACAACTATGTATTATCAGAATGGAACCATAATCTGATTTTTTAGCACAATCTAAAAGATACTGGAATAGGTACACTGGTTAGAATATTAAATGAAAGGTGTCTCTCCTTACAGCGACACCCTGATGGCGTGGCTTCTGTGTCATTTAAAGAGGCCACAGAAGCTGATCTGTGCAAGCTCACTCTAAATGGAAGGTGGTTTGGTGGCCGTCAGCTCAGTGCTGAAACATGGGATGGTGTAACAGATTATCAGGTAACCTTTCCTGCTCCTATTTCATCAAATATTTCTTCCAAACCATAAATCTGTTTTAACTCAAGAAGTTTTTGGCACCCCCATCCCCTTCCCCTGCCCACCCCTGCACTATCTTGCTTCTCCTCAAAAACTGCTAGAATGTCCCCCAAAAAAATCATTCTGAATTATTCAACTTAGCAGAAAATTAAAGGACCTGTTTTGTGTGTTGGAGATGTCAGTTTGGAGCATTATCCACTGCATGTACAGATTGTTAGTTCACAGTCAGCAGGCCCTTCTGAACTCTTGAGATATTTCTGTAAGATAAGTGTTTGTATAATTTTATCTGTGTAAATACTCATTTAGACAAGGATGACTTCGAAATTATGTGTATTAACATCTCTTTTTAATAGGTGGAGGAGACTGCAAGAGAAAGGGAAGAAAGGCTGAAGGTGTGGGAGACATTTTTAGGGGATCCTGATGCAAAGGAGCAGCAAACTACATCTGGTTCGGATTCTGCATCAAGTAGCGTTAAAGCGCCTGAAGGCAAACAACCTCCAGGAGTTAATGACACACCTAAGGAGGGTGCAAATGATGAAGCTCCTAAGAGGGAGAATAATGGTGAGGGCATTAATGAAGATGGAGCTCCATCCACAGACAGCAGCCTTGCAGGCAGCGATGGTGAAGCTGATACATAGCACCTTTAATGCTTTACGAAAGCATGATTTTTAGGGTGATGTTTGAGTTGATCCCTTTCTTCAGGGTGACTGCAGACAATATTCATATGAATATAGGCATATTAGAATGTCATCAACTGTGTGCTTTGAAGTTTTCATTAAAAGCAGTATTTAATGAGGTTCTAAAAGTTTGTATTAATTGGCTGTTCAGGTAAAGTAACTCAAGTTGCCAAGAATGCAGTAAAACTCATCAGGCTTCTTTTGTTCTAACTATGCTTGTCAATGTTCCATCATGTGAGTGTGAAATACATTCTAACCCTTAAGTTTATGTAACTGTATGTAACTTAAGTAATGCAAAGCTATTACAAGATTTGTGGATTTTACTGTTAATTTTCCTGTACCCCTTGGAACTCAGTATTTCATCCTTTAAAATGATTTGTGTCCTGAGTACTTTGGTTCATTTTATGGAACAGATGCTGTGATACATATGGGGTGAATGCATAGGATGTGTTGCTATTCATTAGGTAGCAAATGATACGAGTAGTACCAAGTCACAAACTTAAAAGAAGTGGAAAACAGCGTTGCCATAACCACCCTCAGGCAAACCGAGTGAAGACAGATTATTAAATCACAGCATTCAGTAAATTACTTTTTCCTTCCCCTATTTAGACCTTTTGTTGATGTTAGATAGAGGCTGGAATTATGTCAAGGAGACTAGAAATGCATGAGCACACACATTTTAGGACATAATGAAATAGATAGATCTTAAACTCTCATGGTCTGTATGCAGTAGGTATCAAAATAGGCTTTCAATTTTTGTGGTGGCTTTATTAGTTTTTGCTTTTATATTAAAGGTTTTTGTTCCACTTTGTTAGCATGATGAGTGTAAGTTCTCAACATTTTAGTTTAGCCCTGCATGCTCTTCAGAGTGGGGAGGATCTTCCATATTTCATAAGATTTAAAGGCTTTTGGCAGCTCAAACTACAGTTTGTTGTGCAGAAGTTAGAAAACTTGAAAACATGCTTTCAAATAATGCTCTTAAAAAACAAATGCTAGCCCTCTTAGAAATATTTCCAAAAGCAAGGATTTAGAAGACATTCTAACTTCAGGTATCTTAATACATGGCAGGCTATCAAAAATAACTGAGGGAGCTGTTTTGGGCATAGTCATTCTTAATTTAGAATCCTGTTATTTTGATAAGTAAGGGTAGAAGAATATGGATTTAGGCACTAAATAATTAAAATACTGGTGCTAAATTCATAGCACGTTGTTCATATGGGTGGTAACCAGTACACATTTGTAAGGAGGATCTGTTGAATTGTTTTAATTCATATTGGATTGCAAGAAACTATAGATGCTAATTCCTGTATTTCCATCATGAGGTATTTGGAATACTCTGAAAATTTGTGCTCTGAGATTACCATATATATTTTTTCAAGAAGTCTATATGGTTCTCTTATTTTGTTGGGGTTTTTTTTAATATATAATCAGTATGTGTGGGTAGCTATGCCAACCAGGGCATCTAAGTTAACACCTACCACTGTAGTTATAAGTTACATCTTTTTTGTGACAAAAAATACCTGATCTTACAACAGAGATTATATTTGAATTCAGAGGTTAAAAGTCGAGGGCTCATTATAAGCTGGCATGACAAATGTCCCTTTTTGAGTTGCATTATAAGGGAGAGCTGTAGCTCTTGCCAGCTAAAAAAGTCCGTTTGCTCCTGTTTCCAAGTGTGAATTGTACGTTTCAGCAAAGCAGGTCTTTGAAGAATTCAGGGGATCTGAAACACTGCCTGCTTAGTAGCTGCACGTGGTGGCATGTTCTGATACATCTCTGGGTTGTGTTGGTTCTGCCTTAGTTATTTTTATTGGTAATAAGCACCACAGACCTTTGAGAGCTGGGAGTGTTTGCATGTGAGGAGTGATTTAATGTGGTGGGTATTGCTTTCAGTGCTCCTTTTTTTCCTTCCAGCTTCTAGACTCCAGGCTTTAGATCAATTACTCTTGTGTTTTGTTTGCTTCATTTTTTTTTTAAAGGAGCCCCAGTCATGTAACACTACACAGTTAAATCACCTGTTTTACAGTGGAATTGCAACTGATGTAGGGAAACTTGTGGACAAATGTATAAAACTTGTACAGTTCTATGAAGCCTTATTATGGTATCAGATATGAAAAATAAGGTTAGTGTAGTGTATTATTTGAGAAATAAAGAATCATTTTATGTGCAGTGACCTTCCTCTCTCCAATTGATGTACACATTTGACTGGCTTGCTGCAGAAGTGCAGTTGATGTCAGTCCTTTCACCTTTCTCTCTAGACCTCACACTGAAATAGAGCACCAAGAAAGACTGAGACCAAATGCTTTACTGGCTTTCCTATTAAATAGGGTTCTTAAGGAAATAAAAGCTGTTTTTTCATGCAAATACGTTGTTCTGAAGTGTGGCATTACACTCAAACTGGTATTTTCCTTTTGTCTACCTCTGTTTTCCCCAGTAAAATGTAAAAATATATTTTTATAAACTACTCATTGAGTTATTGCATTTAGTAGTCCAAGGAGAGGTTAATGCAGCTGTAACTTTCTTTTCAGCAGATTTTCATTCAGACTGAATTCTTCTGACATTTTCCTTTTTTGAAATGATGCAAATTTTTATAAATTAATCTGAACAGAAATAAAAAAATCACAAAAGTTAAAATTACTATTTTGAAGTATGACTGTGACAATCTTGTTGTATAGAGCAGTAATGTTTAATACCAAATTTTAACAAATCTGAAGCTGAATAAGGTGAGTTGCTTTTTAAACTTACGTATTTTTCTGACTGAGCAGCATCATACATAAGTTGGTAAGAAATTAAAACCCCCATGGAATTTTCAATGTATTTGTTCTTTAATTAAAAGTGCTGTTTAATTACTTGCTCACTAGAAATGACAAAATCAAACTTTTTGTTTGATTTCTAATATATTGTAAGCTTTTGGTGAGAGGTTCATTGTAAGAGAATCTGTCTCCTTCCCTCTGAGTATGATGAAAACAATAACCAGCAGGAGGCTGAAACAATTTGTGGATAATCCTTGTTGCTCAGTTTTGAACTGGAGAAATACTTGTTTCTATTAGTTCACACAGTGTAACAAAATGGATGTGAAGCCACTTAAACACAACAGCAGGGACAGAGTATTAACTGATCCTTCAGTACAATTCAGCAATAATTGCTTTTTTAACCATACCAGCCAAAATCATTTCTTAGCTTCAAGATACATTGGTAGTTTGCTTTACAGTCAACTGCTCTTTAGTGCTTTGCTGGCAAGGAAGTTTTATGGGGTTACAGGTATTTGCCAGAGATGACGTGGCTTGAGGAGCAAGGCCAAGGTAGACACCTGGAAACAAAAAGCCCCGAAAGAAAAGGGTTTCTTGAAGGCTTTCTCTTTTTCTCGCAGGTTCTGGAATGTTCATATACAGCTGTAAAGAGAGAATTAGCTTCATTTTGCATCAAAATGTTTATCTGTTTCTCCTGCCTTTTTTTTTTAATTACTTTTTTTAATTGAATTTCAGTCCCTCGTACAGCTTACATTTTGTATAAGGATTGCAATTCACTTAAAATCATTAGTATGTTAAATGCAGTGCATTTTAGCTAAATGTCCTAGACATTATTCAGTTAAGGTTAACCTATTTACAATTACGAATAATTCACTTAATTCACTTAACTTGAAGGTATTGGATGCTTCATAGAAACCCAAACTTGCCTTTAAATTTTCCAGTAAAATCGATATTCGTACCCTGAATTCTTGAACCTAAACAAAACAAATTGGAGAAAAAAAAATTAAAAATACTTACCTATAGATGTTAATTGGATTTTAAGTTCTCATTTCTGAATTTGAGGAAACATACTGCAGTATGGGAAATGAATTCTGTGAGTTGTGTACTTGTGTTGATTTGACTTGTGTGTATTTTAGTGCTTATTATACACGGCTTGAAGTCTTACTGTCAGGATACTCTGGAAGTTCTGTAAAATATTTATAGAATTATGAAATCTTTTGCAGCAAATTGGTTTTTTGCTCATTCTGTAATAAGAAAGTATATTGTTAGATTAAACTTTTCAGTAAGTTGACTTGGAATTTTTTTCTGACTGGTGATTTTTCTTTCGATAAATTGACCATTTTCATTTATCCTTTAGAAAACCAACATTTAAAAGCAATGGTAATTGAATAATATCTAGACTTGTGACAGCATCTGAGAATCCCTTGGTTTGTCTTCAATTTGTTTCTTAAAGGGGTTGTGTTTTATACTACCTTTTTAATAAACAAACTGGTGAACAGAACAAGTCTTTGCTGATTCGTTCTGAGATAATGTATTTGTCTTTTTTCCCTCAGTAGAAGATACAGTAGCCTTTGGTGCACAGGGATTTTTATAAAATACATGTGTTAACAAGCCAGAGCTTTCCAGCTGGATCCAGTAGACGTGTTGCTGGAACTGTAAGTGGGATATGGTGTCTGTTCCCCATTTGTGGGTTTTGTCTTCTTCCTGGCTTGGTGTGTTAATGGACCTGCACAGATATAAAAGAAGTAGAAGGGATGATTGCAGACACCATAATTATAAATGAGATTGAGGGGTTTTTATTTGTTAAAGACAAGTAGAATTTCAATTTTGATTCTCAAAAATAAAGATTTTTTTTTTTCAATTTTGTTTTCTTCAAAGCTTTGACACTTCGCTTAAAAAGCACTGGAAATCAGTTGCTCAATTCCTGTACTGAAGAACAGGGATTATAATCCCATTTTACCCAGTAGTTCCTTGTAGGAGCTTTAAACTGATTCCATTTTAACAACCAGCCAAGTGCTTTAACTGCCAACCTGAGAGGGAATTTTTGAATGAGATCTTGAAAAGCTTTAGCAGAAGAAATCTCTGCTGTGTGAGCTAGTTTAGAAAAGGGGATCAAAGAAGGAGTGATGGAGATGTTGAGGGCTCTTGCCCTGCTGATGGACTGGAATCCAGTGTGTCTCACAATGAAAATGTGTTTATGCAAAGAGTGTGTCAATAAAAGACTAAGCACCTTCAAGGGAATCTCAGCCTGGTAGTTAAGTTGGTCTGGGAGATGGCAGAGGGCGGATTCATATGTATTTAGGCAGAGGGAATTGAATTGTGCTCTCCTGCTTTCTGGATGAGTAAACAAACTCCTAAGCTGCTCTATAAAACACATAATGTCACCAGTTTGGTGACTCTAGTTCCCAAGGTGTTTTTTCCAGCTGAGACTGGCAAGTTTGACCCTGTTTCAGCATTTCTGGAATGACTGCAATTGGGTAATTTTGGTAAACTTGCTATTAAAAAAACCCCAAACTCTATTTCCTGCTATAGCCCTTGAAGAACAAGAATATTTTTATTTTCTGAAGCTTTCTGCAGTCATTTAAACAGATCCAGTGAAGAAGAGAGAGAAAAACAGTTATCAAGTTTTTCTGGATTGGAGGCAGATCCTACTTTCCCTTCTTGTAGATGTTGCCCACATAATACTGAATATGTCCTAGCCTGGCATAGGAAAAACCTTTATCATCCTGGCTAAATTTGGCTATCTGCCATAGCTTCATCATCCTACTCTAAACTCTTCCAAAGTCCACAGTCCTCTTTATTGTGTACACATTGTCATTAAAAAGAAAAAAAAAAAAAGAAAACAAACCAACAAACCCAAACCTACTTACAATCCTATTTTCCTCATTCCTGAAACCTCCTAACCTGGTTGACTTGTTGGAGTGCATTTCATGCATTCTTAGCAGATAGGCTGAAGGAAACGCCTTGTTCACGCGCAGCTGGAGGCTAAAAAGTGTGTGAGGAGTTCATGAACGTGGCTTGTCTCCTGCTGCAGTCGCTGCAGAGCACACAGAGCCTGCCGGGCCCCGGGAAGGATCCCAAACCTGCTGGACACACCATGACCATCCCGCACCCGAAACATCTCCCTGGTGTGACACCGCTCCTGACAGTGAGTTAAGGTAGGAGAACTCAGGGGTAATTCCAACCCACCTTCACTGACTTTCTCAAATGTTCCCTTATTTGTTCCCTTATCTCTGGATGAAAGAGAATGCCTGCTTGTTAAGTTGTTGCTTAATACTTGGGAAGTGGAAATTTTTTTAATTTGCTTTTAAAACTGGTTTGAGCTACATGAAAGCAAGAACAGAGAGAGTTCCCTCTCTGATGCTCCAGTGATGGGCAATCAGTACTGTGAGCAAGGGTAGGAATGTGAGAGACATTGTAAAGTATTGTCACTTGTGATGAGCCATCAACAACCATTTCTCTAAAGCCTGTGTTGAGGACACCTCCTTGTCCACCTTAAGGACAAGTAACTTGGACAATTACTTGCACTATTCTGCCGTAATTAATCCATTCTGAGAGCAGTGTGAGGTGAGCTGAGCCTGCTTCATCCTGAGCTCCACTTCTACTCCACTTTGACAACAGTTTGTGGCAGTTTGTGGAAGGATTTCTGCCTTCTTTTGAAGACTTCCTGCTGGAAGATGGAAGAATAGGAAGTTCAGGTAATGAAGACAGCGCCACAAATTTAGATCCTGCCTCCTGGGACATTAGATTCTTCATGTGCATATGATCACTGAGGGACTGAGATGTAACCTAGGTTATATCCAGCCTTCCCATGGCTATTTATTGGAAAGAACAAGAGGTTTTCAAAGGAAATGATAAAACAAAAAAGAGACAGATGACCTTTCTTCTTTAAAATATATTATTTTCGCACAAGCTGCTGCACAGCAATAAACGGTGCTAAAGGAGCTCAGAATTAATGTCAAGAGCCAGTTAATGCATGTTAATGAAAGTGGTACAAAGACTGAATGTCTTGCACTGAGTGAGGAACAGGAAAAGTGAACCTCTGGGCCAGAGCTAATGCTCTCTAAATTGTATGTTGATGTGTAGTGTTGGAGCAGTGTAGGAAGAGCTGGTTTGCTGCTTGCTGTGGGGATGGCCTGATGTCCTTTCTCAGGCCATGTGATCACTGATGTCTTTGCCAAGCTTTTGCTGCTTTGGTTGGAATTTTCAATGGCAAGTGCTGGCCTCCAGCTGAGCAACCAGAAGGTTCCTTCACCTAAACAGTGGGTTGCTTTCTAAAACAAGATTGGGGAAAAAACAGCACCTCTTCCTGTGCCTTGAAGGTCTTCCAGTTGTTTGGCTGCATTGTGCTAGTTCCTGCTCCCCTCAGAGGCCTTGGGAAAGTGCCTGTAAATTAGGAAGAAGTTTTTTTGGTGTAAGTTTTCCATGTCTGGGAAAGTTGGGTCAGTTTTAAAATTGTGAAAGATTATCTTCTGAATCAGATGACTGTTAAAGTATGCCCTTGCATTTCCTGGCTGGTGACCAACCTGAACGTGTCCTGTTCCCATCCCTGTGTTTTGGTGGATGTGAGGCCGGAGCTGGGGCAAAACAATAGGAATCCCAAGATAAGGACTGAGGAACACTGGAGTTTGAACACAAGTTGGTATTGATGGCAGGGGATTAGGGCTGGCTGAGCAAGGGACTGTGAAGCAGGGAGAACTGAACAGAGCACAAGGGAGAGGGAGATGGAGGTAACAAGCAAAACTAGACATAGAAGCAAGTGATAAACATGGACAAGAAGTTTGTAGTTGAAGGATTAAAATGGTGATAGATTGTGGTTTGATAACCTTAATCCTCATATTTCTTGATGCCTGTATACTTGGTTTTGCAGCCTGAACAGTATTTTCATGTGTAAGAAATTCTGAGAAACCATCTGAAGGCAGCATTCACAGGCTCTTCAGGGTGTTCTTTGAGACACAGATGAGTGCAATGTTTATTGGGAAGCTTCTGGGGATTGGGGGGTTTATGACTAGGAAAGAAATCAGATAAATGCTAGGAATAGGTTAAGCAATGCTGCATATTGCAGGGTTAGCTGGATGGAAATATAAATCAAATGATTCATTAGGTTTTGCGTGGTACAACTGGCTATTGGCCAAAGGTCTGCCTGGTCTCTGAAAAATAACAGGCTTCTTTTTGCTACCAAGGTAAATTGATTATGCTATGCAGTGTCATGAGCTGACAATGAGTCTGGAAAATTGAATAGAAGCAGCAGGCACTTCTCATTGCATTTGTAGCCTGAGCGTTGTTAAATATGATTCTGATTAAGGCAGGACGTGTGAGCCGTGGTTGGGGAACTTGTTCCCCTGCGGCCAGAAACTGCACAAATGCATGAAAATGATGCTTCTCCAGGGCAAGCAGTGACATTCCTTGTCCTACTCTTACCATATCTGGCAGCAGATATTTTTTAAGGAGAACAAAAAGGACTCTTATAGTCTTCTGTTGACTTCCTGCAAACTATTTTAGTGTAGTTCCTGCCTTAAATCTGTAACTTTGGGTTGGCCCACAGTGTGTGTTTCAGCAGTCTTGCTACCAAAGTTTTAACTAACTGGCAGACCCATCATGTTCTGAGGTAAATTGTTTCAAACAAAAAAGATTATTTGTTTGGCTTTGGGTTTGGTGGTTTTTTTACTTGAATTTGTCATGATTTGAATTTCTAATAATTTAATCTGAGTGTCTTTTTCTAACAGGTGAAGCAACGAGTTACTCTCAGAAGTCTTTTTGTTGTGGAGGTCTGTGCTGACAGTGATCAAGGTACTTCAAACTTTACCTTATCTAAAATTATTATTTTCAGCTCTAATTAGTGGTGGAGTTTTGGTTTTTTTGTTCTTCTTGTTTTGTTTTGGTTTGGGTTTTTTTTTCACTGTGTCAGTATGTTTTTGAGACATACAAAAACCAGAAATGGATGAAGCATTTTGATATGTTCACTCTGAACTTCATTCAGTGACAGTGCCACCTCTGAATTACTTTTTAAGTGCTTCAGTTATTCCAGCACTGCTCTATCCTGAGGGCACATTTGCACAGCAGTAGGTCCTAAGGCCAAGGGTCACGGTGAGAAATGACAGCTGGTAGATAGATGTGCCCATTTTGCCCAAGTATTCCATGTTAAAAGTATATAATAAGGAAATCAGTAAAGAAAAGGTGCATGGAAAAAGCAGAAACCCACACAGAGAATCTAATCCTACTAGCACAGTTCTTCTGGCCCTACCATTTTCAGGAGGAAGATGGGCTCACCACTGACTGGCCTCTTTAAACTGAATAT